AGCAAAATAAATTTAAAAATAGGTAAAAAATAAATAAACGATATGAGTGAAACTGACTCCCCAACTGTTATGGTCCACAACTTCTGCTAAGATCAATTGAAAGAGGATATGAAAAAGAATGATTTAACACTTCATCTCAAATCTTACAATATAATAGCCACATGAATGTCATGAGAAAAGTATTATCATACAACTAACTCCATGTAGTACTGTACAACACCACAATATGATACATAATGCAGGTTGCTTAAAACTGCATTAAACATATGTCCTCGGTAACTCCATTGGTACATAAGTGATCCAATATAAACCATCCACTCAAACAAATCAGAGTAATATTTGACTCATAAAAGCTTTTTAAGTGCCCTATCTTTAATGGAACTTTATAATAGAAAATTATGTGGGTTAGGAACTAGAACTTTCGAATTTTATTGGCAACAAATACAATCTCTACAAATTCACATAACATCAACATGAGCCAAATTAATCTTCAACAGCACACAAGGGTCAATGGACCAACTTAACAGAACGCGTACTATATGAAATTTCTTTTCAAATTTTATTAGATTGTATGATATAACTTTTTAGAGATCTTTCACTTTCTGTAATATACTAGATTGGGGAGCTGCCATAGGATAGTTTTTTTAGTTGTTTATAATGGAGGGGTGTTTTGGATTTGTTTTTGGGGCTGTATAATTTTGATGGTGACCTTCTGGTTTACTGAGTTTTGTTATGTCAACATGTGAATGTCATACCTCTTTCTTCTATGTTTTTAACCCCAAATGCCAAACTAATACTGAACAAGAAGCTCACCCCTTGAAAACAATAAACACTTATTTACGTATATTATCTAACTACTAAACTTCCCACTATTGCATCCATGTTTTGACTCACTCCTCACTCGTAATTTCCAGTTCTTACCCAATTTCCCATTAGACCCATACCTGAAAATTTAAAAGAAAATAACCCAAAATAAAAATGAAAACTGGCAGAAATTTATACTCTGAACCCAGTTCCTTACCAGGTGATTCACAATATGAGAGCCGGACGTGTTCCCCCTCGAATTACAGAACCATTTTCGACATGAAGGCACGTTACACCTCACAACGCACGCCGGGTTCGACACCCCGCAGTACCGGCACGCATGTTCTGTGAAATCCCCTTTGCCGTACTCGTAGTTATCATCATCCCCAGTGTCCTCAAAGTTGAGGACACTCATCCCACCCGCTAGCACGTCAACCACCTGATTATTGCCGCCGCTACTACCCGACCCACCTGCCCTGGCCTTCGTGGCGCTGCCCGGGGCAGCTGAAACCGGTGACGCATCAGACTGGTGGTCCGACCCGACTCCTCCACCGCCACGGTCGCGGTCTGTAGGGTCTGATAAAGAATCCGACGGTGTGGGCCAGGCCACAGGTGACCGAATCGGGTCACGAAACTCCGGGTAGTCAAAGTCCTCGCCCTGGGTGTTGAATTCGAGGAAGGTGTAGGCGTCGTTACCCGTATCCGGCTGCGACGCCGTTTCAAAGAGGTTGTTTGGCTGCGAATCCATTGGTCGCCCTGTGAAATTGAAATTTTTTGGGGCCAAGGGTTTTAGGTGGTTGGGGTTGTTCAGATTCAAGAGACAGAAATAACGAGAGTGAAAGGGGTTAGGGTTAGGGTTAGTGTTTGGTGAACGAAATGAATGAGAAGAGAGAAAGAGGTTTGGGAAGAGGAGGAGAGAGTGTAGGGGGTGTGTGCGTAGACGTCATGGAGAGAGAGGAGAGAGATAGGGGGTTTTGTAAGTTTTGTTTTTGCGAAACTGTTTTTGCAATATTTGAGACGCGCCACTGTGATTGGGCAGCAGCGGGTCCAAGGAGTGCTTTACAATACGCACGTGACGGAGGCCTTCTGGACTGCATGGCACGTGAGAGAAGTGTGCGATGTCAACTTTAAAAGGCTTGTATGTTGTTGTGAGGCACGTGTAGTCATGTTTGGGAAATTCAGACCAAGAAAAAAAAAAAAAAGTCATGTTTGGGAAATTGGTGTAGATGGATGGACAATGCTTCCCATCTATCATGCCTCAACTACAAATCCTCTCTTTTTTAATTGTCAAAATTGCTTTTCCTTATTATTTTTTTCACTTTTACAGAACCCATAGATTTTGTTACATTTTCTTGGTTATCGTAACGGAAAAATTAGGTGCACTATATTTTTGTAGACTCTGCGTAAATAGAATTGGTGATGAATGCTATATTTTTTGTACATCGTGTTCAACATAGAAAATTTGGTGATGAATGAATATCTTCTCTTTTGTTCTATTGTGATTGTCACTTAGGCCTCGTTTGATACATAGGATTGGATTGGACTGGACGAAATTTAAGGACCGACTTGGATTGTCTTGGACTTAGTCATGTCCTATGGTGGAGTACTTAACTACTGGGATCCAAGGTATGACTATATTTCTAAATTATAAAATTAAATATTTTAAACATTAAATATTTTTTTCTATTCTTAAATATAGATTATAAAAAAAAATACAAAATTTAGAAATTTATGATTCACATACAACAAATTTAAGATAATGAAGTTGGGTATTCCTAATGAAATACAAGTGTAAATATAAACTTAAGACAATCATTGTTTTCTTGTTCACTCATTGTACATTTGCATGGCCATAAAATCTCTACATGTACTCTATTAATCCGAGGCTCCAACGGTCTCAAGCATAGCGCCCTTTACCATATTTTGAGTAATTTCATTATCATGTAGTGCATGCTCCATCGGATTCGTCCACATCTCCCTCCGAATAAGGTTACAACAAGTCATAATTATTTGGTATTGTGTCTTTATGGGATAAAAGGATGGGCTCCTTAGTATAACCCATCTAGCTTTTATCAAGCCAAAGTAACGCTCTATTACATTTCTAGCGGACGAATGCTTCATATTAAAATATTCTTAATGATTTGTAGGTTTATTTCCATCCCTCCACTTCGTCAGATGATATCTTGTTCCTCTATATGGCACAAGAAACCACTCACCATTCGTGTACCTGCCATCTACAAGGTAATAATAGCATAGCAACAAAATGAGAACTCTAATTAGCATGTCTCTATATACATACCTATAATGTTACTCAACAATACATAGTCAAACATGAGTCGGCAGACTGCACAAAGTTACCTTGGTTAGATGAAAAGCTACACAATATTGTACCGCTTGATAGCTCATCTATATAGCCAAGTTCATTTAATTTTGTGTGCAACTAAGAAACCCATGACAGTATTTGACCCCATATACAAGATACATGCCCAATAAGTAAACAAAAAGATACAAATTCACACAAGTAATGAGATTGAAGATTGCAATTACAGAATTTAAATTGGCATGAAATTGGATGAGCATGTCACTATTTAACTTTTGTTTGAATGAATAAATTAAATAGCCCAATGTTTTCAAAAACGGATAGGGAGAGGCATGTCGGTTCGTACGAAGGCTTCTTTCAGCCCGTTAATTGCCTCTTCATGGAAAAAACTTTAAATTTTGCATTCCAATTTTTATGAACCGACAATTCATGCGTTTTTATGAAATTTAATTTGTTCATCTATGTATTTGATTTTAATTCAATGACTTTATCCATTTTTCATTTTGCATATTTTTTACACCCACAATATTTGAAGAGAAATATTCAAATATGTTCCATTCCCCATCACCTATCTATCATACAAATGGATTTGGAATTTACCCTTTTAAATTTTATTTTTAAAACTAGATGGTTTTCTCAGACCTATCCTAAAATAAGAAATATCATTATTATGCAAATATTTTGAGTAACCCATCCAACTCACCATGTCAGAAAATCAATAAATAAGAGGTGTTTATTGTACATTTTCAATTAACTCCAAATTTAATTATTCTTATCTTTAATGCCATATGTTTTGGCTTTGAAGTGACCTTTGCAATTCAATACCCAAACCCAAACAAGCAAAAGAGTAAAGATGTACGTTTTATTCTCTATAAAAACAAAAATCCATGCTCCAAAAAAAAAATTAATAATAAAAAAACCCAAAAGGAAAATGAGAAAAAGAGAGGAAAGTTGAAGCCTTCCCAAATTATGCTCGGCGGGCTGACAGACAGCCGTATATAGGTCTCTACCCCGGAGATTTAAAAAACAGTAATATATTGGGTGGTCAAAGTTCGTGTCTTATCCTCATTGGTTGAGAAATATTTAGTCTTTTTATTTTTTATTAGTTGACATGAAGTTCTTTTTTTATTTATCATCATAAATTATCATCAGAGCCACTGAATAATGTAAAGGATAAAACCCAAAGAGATTACCAAAATAGATAAATTTAAATTAATCAACAAGAAATTATCCTATAATTTAGTAGGGGTGAGCACGATCCAGTTTGGCGCTGTTGCTTTCTTTATCATCAAATTTCAATAAAGCCAGCTCTTAATTTATTGATTCACAAACCAAGTTCAAATCAAGCCCTTAATATAGTAAAAAGATTAAAATTTACCATTCGACATAATAAATACAAACCCAAACCTCTTGATTTAAAAAATAAATAAAAATTAGCGTAAAGAAGCCAAATATAAGAAAGAACTGAAACAAAAAGAAAGACTCAGAGAGTACATAACGAAATCTTAACCGTTCATCTGCTCGTCCTCTCCTGACGTGGACGCCATCCAGACCCTTGATTGTTCCACCAATCACCGCTCTAGTTAGCAAGCACAAACCTCTCGGCTGTCTGTCGATTTTACTGTTACACCCCTCGCGTCCTTACTACTTCTACGCCAAGAAAGGGTAGCTTTGTCCGAAAAGAGTTTCTCACTTACAGACCCCAATTATTTGACCTCCTGATTCACTCGCAAAGACTCAAAGAAAGAAAAGCGTCCTTTTGCCTGAAGCTCTCTCTCTTCGCTTGGCGTGGCGTGCATGCTCTGAAGCTCTCTCTTTTCGCGCCCTTTTGCCTTCCTCTAGTCCTGGTCACGGTCACGAAGCTCTCATTGTGCTCTTCTCTCTCTGCAAGTTCGCCCTTTTTGCTGCTTGTAAGTCTCTCTGTCTCCCTACCACTCTGTTTTGCTGTTTTATGGTGTGTATATGCGTGTGTTGTATAGTTTTGTGTATGTGGGTGTGCGATTTGAGGGAAAAGAGCTGGCTTTGTGATGAGTTTTCTTTGGTGAGAAAAATTGAATTTTGGGGTTATTGTGATAGGCTTCTCTCCTTGCGGTTGCGTGTGTATGTGTATATATATATATATACACACACACACATATGCATGTGTTAGAGCTGATTTGTGTGTGTGTGATTTTGATGTAAAAGAGCTGACTTTTTGATATTTTTGTGATTTTGGTGGAAAAGGTTCAATCTTTTGGTGCTCATGGACTATAACGCGCCTGTAGCGAAGAGGACACGGCTAAGTGAAGAGAAATACTGGAGGGAGTTATGGGAGAAAAAGGCTGGGAAACGAGAACTCCGTGATGGGTCTGATAAGAAAGGGAAATCACGTAAGGGGTCCAATGTACGGGATTGTGTATCTGTGGATGACTATGAGGAAGCCACTGTGAGTCCATCCAGGGGAGGCAAGGACAAGAAAAAGGGTGGGAAAAGAAAATCTGCTGAGGGGTCTAAGAAACAGAGGTCTGGTTGTGATGATTCTGATGAGGGTGACGATCCCAGTGTTGAAATCATCAGTGAAAGTTCATTTGGAAAGCAAGACAATGATTCTGTGGGTTTTGATAGTGTTGAGAGTGCAGGATCAAATGGAAAGAAGTCTAACTCTGGTGCTGTGGACATGGAGAATTTTTTTCCAGTTGAAGTGGAGGATAGTGATGATGGGGTGGTGTATTTGGGTGAAGAGAAAGTAGGAGGTTTTGGTTGTTTGAGTTCAGAGAGGAGTGATGCCTGTGAGGATGCTGCTTCTGATGGCACCACTGAGGATGCTGCTTCTGATGGCTCAGATGAATCTTGGAAGAGTAGTTCCAGTGAGGATTCTATTTCTCATGCCTCAGATGAATCAGATGATGAGGCTTTTGAACCAGAAAACTCAGAAAGTTCTGTATTTTCTAAGTCGTTGAATTCATGCGGTGAAGAGGGGCATGATGATGAAAGAGAGGTTACCAAGAGAAGTGGGAAACCAAGAAAGAGGAAAACTGTTGAGGGTGATGTTGAGGTGAAGAAGGGGCAGGACATTGATGCTAGTGAGATTGCAAAAGGAAGTGGGAAAGCAGAAAAGGGGAAAAGTGTTGAGATTGGTGTGAGGAGAAAGAGAAGGGTTGGGTTGGATATGTCAGTTGGTGCAGATGATGACTTTGATAGCAACAAAGATGATCCTATTCATTCTGCTCAAGAGAAGAGAAGAAGTGAAAAGAAGAGAAGAAAATGTGGAACTGTAAATGATAATGAGGATTCTTCTTCTGGGCATGATAATGACAATGAAGATGTTGATGACGCCAATTGCAGTTGTCCGAGAACTAGGCGCCACAAAAAGAAAACAGGGTCTGATGATGATAGAAGAAATGATGAATGTGACAAGACCTATGGTGGTAGTCCAGAAACTGAGCGTAGTAAATGGAACGATGTCCACGGAGTGTGCAAGAAGAATAAAAGGGATATCGGGAATCTTACTAACAGAAGGTCCATGCGGGCAAAGAAGGATTGCAATGTTTTAAAGATTCTTGTAGATTCCATTTATGAAAAGGGAGAAGGGACACTGAAAGGGTCAATTTCCTTTGGAGATGAAGGCCGTAAAGATGAAAGAAATCCACCAGAATCTACTCTTCCACTTAAGTTCAGTTTTGGAGAGCAGTCAACTGTACCAAAGAAGTCAGAGTGTGATCCAGAAGAAAAAGAACTATGGGACGACCTTGAATTTGCTCTCAGAGCTTCTGAGATTGATTCCTCTGATTCTAATGTGGTAGGTTGGTTCTCCTGATCTTGGAAAGTACATTTTTGTTTCTTGCACAAGATCTTTTATTGTAAGTGAATGTTTGATTTGCAGGTTGAAAGTCAAGATTCACTCCCTATTGCTGATGAAGTTGAAACAGTAGCTAGCCTCTGTAGGCGAGGGGTTCATCAGCTTATACTTGATGAAGAGATTGGACTCAGATGCAAGTTTTGCTCTTATTTAGATCAGGAGATCAAGTATATTTTACCAGACTTCGTAAGTCCTGCAATTGTCTTATGAATCTTCCTTTCAGTTAAGATTGATTATGTTAGCATTTTTCGATTGCACTAAAGCTTAGACTCTAGTTATTATTATGATAACACTGAATGTAGAGCATTCTGTGTTGTTTGGAACATGCTTTAGGATGCATCCTTTGTTGGCAATTTTATCCATATAAGTTTTAGATTTAGAGACTTAGAGCAAGGGCTTGCTTACCTAGCTGAGATCCAATATTATAATTATATATATATATATATATATATATATTGTTCTGGTTTGGGTCCGTTATTTGGAATGAAACTATGACGTGTTGACTTCCTTTCCCTGTAACTTGAGTTGGCCAAGTTTGATTGGATCTGAGAGCAAACTCACTGTTCAAGCTGTTGACCCAATTGACGTATTTCAACTGTTGTTTGTTATTATTAGATTTTTATTGTATTTTTTAACAGCTTTTGCATATGCTCGGACTTGATCATTGGTTTAGTTCATTTGGTTACTCAAAGCTTCTGGTCTTTAACTTGACAGTAATAATTTTTTGGTGTATGTAACTTGACAATGCTTTCTTTCTTTGATATTGAGTGGATCCTTCATCCTCGGACGGGGTTATTTAATGATCTCATTGGTGGGCCATATTTACTTCTAAAGCTGCAACTTGTTGATTTTAGTCTTTCAAATCAGAATTATCAAGTTAGTTATGGTGAATGTCCTTGTTATGTTTGTGGCCAATCTCAATTTTTTGTTAAGGATTTCTTGAGTCTCGTCAAATATATATTGCTTTGAATGATTTAGTATATAGGGTCTGATTTTCCCTTCTTTTACTTTCCTTGTCTGCTTTCTGATACTCTGCGCTTATCAACTTAATTGTCATGCTTTATTATATCAGATATGTGAATTTTCCCTTGTGTGTGCATATTCCAGCTTGACTGCCCTTATGGAAGATTTGGCACAAGGGGCTCTGAAACAGACAACCGGTCTATCTTTGATGAGCTTCAATCTCATGCTTCTGATTCTGATCGCCATTCTGGCTATAATTCTCATCCTCATGTTGATGGCACAGTGTGGGACTTAATTCCTGGTGTTAAAAGTAGTATGTATCCCCATCAGCGTGAAGGTTTTGAGTTTATCTGGAAGCATATAGCGGGTGGCATTCATCTTGACAAGTTGAAAAAGCCAAGCAGTGTTGTTGGTGGCAATGGATGCATCATATCACATGCTCCTGGAACAGGCAAAACTCGCCTGACCATTGTCTTTCTCCAGACATACATGAAGTTATTCCCAGAATGCAGGCCGCTTTTGATTGCTCCTCGTAGCATGCTCCTTACGTGGGAAGAGGAGTTTAAAAAATGGAAGCTTGAATTTCCGTTTCACAATCTTAACAACTGGGAGTTATCTGGCAAAGAAAATCAAACAGCTGTAAATTATGTGATGCAAGCTCAAGGCAGGAAAAGTGTCAACATAGAAAGCGGACGAATGCTGAAGTTGTATTCCTGGAGAAAGAAGAGAAGCATCCTGGGGATTAGTTACCGGCTGTTTGAGCAGCTTTCTGGAGCACAGAAAACTGGCTCAGTTGACGAAATGGGGAAAATCCTTCTCGAGTTTCCTGGTCTTGTAGTGTTTGATGAAGGACACACTCCTCGGAATGATCAAAGTCATATGTGGAAGGCTTTGTCAGAAATCAAAACAAAAAGGCGCATTCTTCTCTCTGGAACTCCGTTTCAGAATAATTTTCAGGAGCTCTTCAATACAATCTGCCTCGTGAGGCCAGCTTTTGCAGCCTCGATTGAGTCTACTAAATTCAGTAGAGATCTTCCCAGAAAACGAGGCCGGAAAAGCAATGCAGAGAAATGGAAATGGACTTCTCTGGCCAGCAGTAGTGGAAAAGTTGTTGATGACAAAGAAAAACATGCTACAGAGGTCAAAGCTCAGATTGCACCGTTTGTCCACGTCTATAAAGGTTCTGTGCTGCAAGACAGTCTTCCCGGGTTAAGGAACTCAGTTGTTGTTCTACACCCAACCCAGCTACAGGAGAGGTTTCATAAGAGAATTCAAGTGGTGAAGGAACTGTTTCGATATGAAAACCTAGAGGCTTTAATATCTTTTCATCCTTCCCTCTTGCTTAAGGAAGATGCATTTTCTGCTGACCAGGGTAGGTTACAAGAGCTTAAATTAAATCCTGATGCTGGAGTGAAGGCAAAATTTGTGATGGAACTCATCAGGCTCAGTGATGCTTTGAAAGAAAAGGTTCTTGTTTTCAGTCAGTACATTGATCCCTTAAACCTTACAAGGGATCTTCTGAAATCTCAATTTCAGTGGACTGAAGGGGAAGAGGTGCTGTATATGGATGGAAAAAGTGATATGAAGCAGCGTCAATCCTCAATGAAGGTTTTCAATGACCCATCTAGCAAAGCCAAGGTATTACTAGCTTCAACTAAAGCATGTTCTGAAGGCATAAGCCTTGTTGGAGCTTCCAGGGTTGTGTTGCTGGATGTCACATGGAATCCATCTGTGGAGAGGCAAGCAATATCCCGTGCCTACAGGCTGGGACAGAAGAAGGTTGTGTTTGTCTACCATCTCCTCATGGACAGAACTAACGAGGAGCATAAATACAGTCGCCAAGTTGACAAGAGTCGTTTGTCTGAGTTGGTGTTTTCTGATTCAGACAAGAAGAAGGTTCTTGAGAAGGAAATCCGAGCCACGGTTTCTGAGGATAAAATCTTGCAAGAGATGGCTCAGCACGGGAAACTGAAGCACCTATTTAAAAGCATAGCTTTACTGCATGAAGACATATACTTTGAGCAGCTAGGCCTGTCAACTTTTGGTTAAGACACAGGCACACATTGTAACCCAATGACTGTTTTCAACTCTTGGTTCAAACATATTTTGCGCACTTTATGGTTTCTTAGCTCCAAAATATATTTATGCATCGCCTTGCCTCCAAATTATTGTTTTGGATCTCTAGAGAGGTTGAATTTTTCTTTACAGGGATTTTTTCAGAATGAATATTTTGTTTCCTATCTATCGATTTTATACCGTCTTGGAGTATAGTTAAAGAATACATTTCCTGATCTGTCTTAGAGACGATCTTATCTATTCTATACAGACTATGCCTAATTATGCGTATGAGATGCATGTTGAATTATAATTAACTAATATTTATGTTGATATAAGAAATACGAGTGATGTGCATATGTGTGCATTCAGTGTTTTATTGATGTTGATCCATCATCCATGCATGAATAGCATAATGCCGAATGACAATTACTATGCTGAGCATTTCTCTTTCTGGGCTTTACACAAATTAAGGGGAGGACCTCAACCTCAACCACTGAGGTAAACACCCAATGACAAATTGTATGAGTTTGGTATCATATTTGCAATGTGAGGGCTGTCATTTATTATACTGATTTGAGATTTATGAAAGAATTTACACATCTGGATGGATGGCACAGCATAAGTAGGGGCTGTATTCAATTATTCTTGCTAATGTATATTTTTTTCCAACATTCTTGCTAATATTTATGTCTGTGTAGCTGAAAATTGTCATATACAAAACTTAATATAACAGAAGTTTTCGGTCATGGAATTTATGAGGCTTGATTTTCCTTTAATTTGTGATGAGTTAGTAAAATAAGTAACCGGAAAAGTACGAACAAAATAAGTACGTGTGATTCAGCAAAATTTTGACAAAATGCAAATGAAAAGTTCGGCCACTAATATAATAATATTTTTTTTCATTTTTTTATTCAATAATATGTGAAAAATAAGTGAATTCTGTATGTATTATCGAAGATTTTGTAAAAAATACTTGTATTAAATGTGAAGAATACATATGTACATGTATAATACGTTGTATTGTATGTTTGATTTTTAAAACGTGTATTTTATTGAGTCTTTAAGACGTGTACAGAAAACAACAATATTTTAGAAATATAAGTATGTATGAGTATAACTCGAGTATTAAACGAGAAATGCTAACTTGTTATGACTAACGTTTTAGCTTGCAATTAAATATGATATGCATATTTTTACCAAAAAAAAAATATATGATATGCATATTAAAAACGTTCTAAAATGTGAACAATGATATGGTCTATAATCTATATGCCTTGTGAAGGCTAAATAACGTAAAGGACTAGTTATATATGTGTATGCCTTGTGATGCTAAATAAAAAATGTAGAGGGGAATGTGCTCAAGTCTATAAAGGAGTCGTTAAGGAGGTAAATCAACTTTTGTGATTGGAGATTCCATGAAGAAAGTTTAATATGGCAGAAACAATCCTTACTGTGCGGCTTATATGTAGCACTTATATTATTATGGAGATATCATTGAGATATTATTCTGCTTATCTTGTGCTATTTTATGTGATGTTAGGAAGGGTCTTAAATGCAAATGAGTTTTATCTTATTATTAAAATGTTTTAAAATATTTTTTATATTTAATCTTGATTTTGAAATTTTTTAATAGTTAAAATTACTAAAATACCAATGTCACGTCATCAAGTTAACAGTTTTATTGACTAATTTGACGGAATAGGGGAACAAGGGGCGCAGAAATAAAACACAGGGTATATTGACTCAGTTTGAAATATAGGGGTAAAGTATGATTTTTGGTGAAGCACAAAGAACACATCGATAATTAAGCCTTTAAATATTTACGGAGGAAAATGGATTTAACCCTAATAATTATTTTTTTGGGTAAAACGGAATAGTTATATTCCATGGGCTTTATCCAGATTAAAACGGAATAGTTATAATAAGCAACTCTGCGTTTTCTTGCAAGAAATTGTTTGTTTTCATCTCGTGCGTAAGACCTACGAGCGGGAACTGAGCAACTCTGCGTTAGAGCTACGACAGGGAAGAGAAAACATGCCCTTCCTCACGCATCCCCCTCCTCTATTTATTTGCTCCTCTCCGTTTCTTCAAGCAATCAGCTCCTCCTACTTTTCGTTCAGTTTCTTCTCCTTTCTTCTGCTCAGGTATCTCTCTCTCTCTCTCTCTCTCTCTCTCTCTCTCTCTGTGTTTCGGATTTTACTTGTATGATGAATGCTCACTGTTTCTTTATCTTTTGAAATTTGAAAGTCGACCACGAGCCATTGTCACTATACCACGCTTGCTTGAGTGCAACTTCAATGTCGAAGTTCATGGCTGCTCCAAATGCAAATGCAAATGCAAATTCAACTTCAAATCCAAATCCGAACAACTCCTTTGAGGTAAATTCATTGTTGATTTTTCTTTGCTTTCATGTATTTATTTTCTGAGTTAATTTAATTTGATTTTATGTGTTTTTTAGGTCGCTCAACCTCCAAACGACTCCATATCAAGCCTAAGTTTCAGTCCCAAGAGCAACATTCTGGTCGCCACCTCCTGGGACAACCAGGTTCATGTTCTTTTTCTTTTCTTCGTTTTTTTTTTGGTTTGGTCAGTTATAAAACCTTAGGTTTTGTTTGTTTGCTAAAAAAATTATTTGTAGAGATTTTGATTGAATTTCTGTGACCATCTTATTTAACTTGTGGTTTATGGACAACCCAGAATATAAGACAATATGCTATGAGGTTAATGTAAATTTTTTTGGTATAATCTGCTTATGTAATTTATGTTAACTGGAATAAGATAAACATGAGGCATTTATAATTTCTTTTCTTTTCCGTTTTCTTTCTTTCGCAACCAAACAGTGTATTGTTAGGATTTACTAATGACTGGTGGTGTCCCCTTGTTTAGGTGCGATGCTGGGAGATACAACAGAGCGGAACAAATCTTGTCAGTCAGCCCAAGGCAGCGATATCCCATGACCATCCGGTAACATATTGCACATTGTTTAGGCCAACTTGCTTTGTTTTCGTTTCACACTTGATTTTGAACCTCTTGTATAATTATGGATATATATGCACATACTGGCTTAAAATGAATCAATTATAAGTTCCTATCACAGCGATGGTGCAAGTTAGAAATCCCTGTTCAGAATTTAAATTCTAGATCGCCTGCCTTTACTGTTAGAAGGACAGAATAATAATAGTAATTATGGTAGGTGTGCGACCTGTTTGCAAGATCTTAGGTTTCCAATGAAGATGTCAAGGACAATTGCATGTGCAATTGTTATATGGTGCTGATTTCAAAACGAGTAAATTTAATAGTATTTTTATGCAATGTATGTCCTTTCAAGGAAATTCTGTGATATAACTTGCAACTTTTTCTTTCTTTCTTTCTTTCTTTCTTGTAAGCTGGTCAGAAGTTTATAATATGATTCATGACTTTGTATACACATAGTAATATACTCCATCTATATAGGTTTTGTGCTCAACTTGGAAAGAGGATGGAACAACTGTGTTCTCTGGAGGTTGCGACAAGCAAGTGAAGATGTGGCCTTTGGGTGGCCAGCCAGTAACGGTTGCCGTGCATGATGCACCCATTAAAGAGATTGCTTGGATCCCTGAGATGAGCCTCTTAGTCACAGGAAGCTTGGACAAGACTATGAAGTAAGTAAAACATAGCCTTTGTTCTTGTGTATTTTGAGCTATCTGAAATTTATACACCAGAAATTTGGGGGGTATTCTTTCTAAAATAACTTAATAATTCATTTAAGGTTATGGGAGGTAGTGCCGCTGAGAATGTTGTGCTTTGCTCTTGCCATTTTGGCACCCTTTTTGCTCATATATTTTCTTCTTTGTTACAGAATGTTCTCATTCATCTGAGAACTAAGTTTCTTGTAGTTGTTGACGTGCTGTATTGTTTTTCTACCTTAACTTATTTCATAAATTACTAAAGCTTTGTCATCTTGCCTTGATACCAAGTTTTCTGTTTTTTTTATATGAGATCTTCTCTGCCTATCTTCAGGTATTGGGACGTGAGGCAGCCAAATCCAGTGCATACACAACAACTACCTGAGCGCTGTTATGCTCTATCAGTGAGATACCCTCTAATGGTTGTTGGCACTGCAGACAGAAATCTGATTGTTTTTAACTTGCAGAACCCTCAGGTAAATTTTATTTTTAGGAGTTATCAGATTAGATTTATTTTATCAATTTCATGCAAGAAAATCACATTAAAAAGTAAATCAGGCTTACTTATTTAGTAACTTTGTTCACTCCTAGTTTCAAAAATTAACATTTATATAGGCTGTTTTTTTTTTTAATAAAAAATTTGGCAGTACTATGATGATAAGCTTCTCTAGTTTTTAAGTTTTCAATTCCAGTGAACTTTTCCACAATAAATTGCAACGGTGCTGGGATGTATTATCTGTGTGATTTGATCACCTCCATGAGCGTTCTCTGTTTTGCCTCTAAATTTAATTATTTCCAATCACCAACAGACCGAATTCAAGAGAATTCTTTCGCCCCTAAAGTATCAAACAAGGTGTGTTGCTGCATTTCCTGATCAGCAAGGATTCTTGGTAAGTATTTTCTCTTGTGCTCGTAGTTTTCTGTTCTGAAAATATAGTTCTCCTTTTTTTAAATAGCTTGCTTAGAATGACAAACTATAATATGGTATTCTGCATAATTATTTCCACCAAACATGAATTCATGGTGTGCTTTCTTGTTTATGACTATCAATTGATTAATGTGATAATTTCTGGAGAGTGGAGACACAAGTAAATCTTAGTTATCTAGGGGATATAAAGAATACGAAGTGGTGACCAGTTTTTAAAACATCTTGGACTTTGACATAGAGATTATTGTAATTTCTCAAAATGAGATTTAGAAGAAAAAAAGAGAGGAGAAATTTAAACAGATGTTTGTTGATAGTTGATATGCCTCTTTGTCATCAGTTCTTCCATTTGCCACTGTACTTTCTTTTCTTGACTTATGTGATTGTTGATCATGATGTAAGATCATGCATACTCAGTCTTTGCTTCATAATTATTATATTCTCTGAATAGTTAACTAATTATGATTCTGACATTATGATGTAACCAGGTTGGCTGTATTGAAGGGAGGGTTGGCGTACATCATCTGGATGAAAAACAAAATGATAAAAACTTTACCTTTAAGTGCCATAGAGAGGGCACCAGGATATACTCAGTCAACTCTCTGAACTT